GGAATTTTTAAAACGATTTTGATGATTCTTCTTTTGTCGGATAGAGGATAGTGGTCCCATTTAAACTTAAGGAAAATATTCTACCTCTAAGGGTGGCAAACTAGGGGATGAATGTCTTTTGAAGTAGGTTTCTTTAGTACTCTGTACTGAGATTTTTGTTTTTTTTTTTTTACAAAATTAGGTTTCTTTTGTTAGGGAGGTTTGTATTAATGTTAGACATAAACGGTTGATAACTTTATATCTCAGTCACCATGGGACCTGTAAAGGGCCCGAAACTTTAATTTGTTTGAAGGAACAAACAAAGATCTGAAAAGTCATTTCCAATGTGTAACAATCGCGAAAACCTAAGAACAAGTGCTGTAGTTACTTACTTTTGGTTTAGAGCGACATATGTGCTGTTGTCTAATTTATTTATTTAGATTTATTTGTTGTACTGTCTAAACTCAAGTACAATACACACCTCCAAGGAGACAGTAACCGTTAGCAGCAAGCGTGTAACTTAAACTTAAACAAGTTTCCTAAACCTTCTTCGGTATGTTGAGATCTTATCATAGCAACCTTCTTGTTCGATTCATTACAAATTCCAAGCATCAAATAACCACTAACAAAATGTAAGTATAAAAAAACGCAATAACAGACGAGACGGGAATATTAATTACGAAGAAACAGTTACTCTCATACCGCACGAGCCAATGAGCCAACCCGTTTCCATTCTTGACAGATCGTAAATCAATATCAATCGCGAAACCACTCCGGACAAAATCAATGAGTCAGTCGAGTAAAAAATCTAACTAAAATCCTTTAGCGACTGACGTATAGATAACTCAACATAGTTACTTTTGCAGCTGGAAAAATTTTTGGTACTTTTAAAAAAAATATTAATAGCGGTGGAGCTCTTTGTGTTACGGGATTACTCCGCCTGTGAACCGATTTTTATTTTTATTTTTTTATTGGAAACTCATGGTCAGACTTGTCGGTTACCAACAGACGCACAACTTGTTCATCCCGTCGCTTGATATCATAAAATAAAGAAAAAAGTTGGAAGTATTTTTTTATTAATTTCAGGTTATTTAGAAGAAACACTTCTTCTATTCAGTTTCTAAACATTGACATCAAAACACACGTAATATAAAAGTTGTCTAGATAGTAATTTATCTGTTTACAAAGGATAAACATTATACTACTTGACTATGACGAATAACGCCACAAAAGAAAAAAAGATTTAAGAAATTACAAAACCATAGATTATTTGCATAAACAAAGACATTATAAGTATATTTCTTTCAAAGTTTTTACAGTAAATTTCAACTTTGTAACAATCATCTGTCTATCCATTCTAACAGTAAATACAACTTGGCAACAAAGCAAGGGTGGTTCAGAAAGACCACCAAAATAGCGTTTTAAGAAACGCATTAACTTTTTGTTTTCACTATCTGTGTCCCTTTTTAGTGCTCCACATTTTTCTTGTAATGGGGATTGTTCGTTGTTTTTACAACTAATTTTGTCAGTGTGGTCTCTGTCAGTTTCTTTTAATTAACAGATCATTTTATATGTCATCGATAGACGAAAAACTTCGTTAGTGACGATTTATTAGGATTTTTTTTAAAGTTGAACCGTATCTAATGATTTATTCACCCTACACAATTAATAATAAAAAATACTGTAGTTGACACGCGATTCAATAATATAAACATGTCAAATTGGTCCATGCCTTTGCTAAGTATCCCTCACCGATATTATGCCATAGCACGTAACAAATAGTCCAGAGCACACAAAAAAATAACATTTACACACACTCACACCTGAGCAAAACCGATGCAACATATCGATGGCCTAGCACACTTGTACTAACTACGCTTTTGGAAATTTTACAGTAGAGCAATTTGAAAGTTTGACTTCGAATTCCAGATACAACTTGCTATTTATTATATTGGATTTAAAACTGATGATTGATTTTTAGCATTTAGAAAAGAATGTAACTATTACGTAGTAATATCGGGTTCTTAGGTTTTCACGATTGTTGCACAAAGGAAGTGAAACTATTTTGCCGGATTTAAATCGCGTACATTTGTTTTTTTAAACAAACCGACGTATCGGGCCCTTTGCAGGTCTCATGGTCACAGTTGACTTACGTATCATTACGTAGCAATTTACTTTGCAACTCAATGGCTACACTAAACTTGCAAAATTATCAGTGAATCAAAGCCCATGCACTTAGTACATTTGAATAGTACATTTGATAGAGATGTGTAGCGCTTACTACTTTTGGTAATTTAAATTGTCCAATAGTATGCAATTATCCCTCGCAGCACTCGTGTACTAAAATCACTTACCGTTGTGTACAAATTTTGACCAATATCCTCAGCATAATGGGAGTTTAGTATCTCCATGTGCTAGCAACTGCATGATTTTTTCTGGAAATAAAATCAGTTAATTTAGAAACGTAGGCAGTAATTCCCTAAAAAATTAACAACACTTCAATTATACTGGAATTCTGTTTTGAGCTCAGTTAGATTATTAGGTGTGCCTTTTTTTACAAGAAAGAGACAACATATTGGAGTTTTGTTGAATGGGGACGGTACAGAGTGACATTTATTGCATTTGTCATGTTTACATGACATTGTCTAACTTCCTTATTTCAGCGTAAAAAATTATCTATTAATTTTATTCGCAGAATTTTTAAACCTCTCACCTGAAAAGATGTCATTTTGTAGATGTGGCGTTTTACGCCTAGGGTGGGAATAGAATACAATTTTAAAAAACGAATATGGACGCCAGCATCAGCAAACTACACATTGACAGATCTTGTCCCGTTGCCCTAGAGGCGATATTCAAACAAAAAAGTATACTTTGATGTGCAGTTGTCTGTACAATATAACACATTTAAGCTTTAAGAAGAAATTTCAGAATTATTCTATATGTTTAAAGTGTAGGTAAATAACAATTACTTTTGTAATTCTATATACCTATATTTTTAATATATCTTTGATCGTTCCTGGATTTAAAAGGAAAACATTATTTTTTCTACGTCTTTTATTTTTATTTTATTTATTTAGGACAACCAACAAGTCATACACTTCATACATACTATTCTGATTATACAATTCAAACGGAATAATGCTAAAGTGTTGACTCAAAGGTTGCCATCGCATGCAACAGTCAAACACAGTTAATTATTTATATTAATAACAGTTATTCACACTAATAATTTATGTAACATGTAATGATAAACATTACAAATAGAAAGAAAGTAAGATGTTAACAAACACGTCTTACTTAAATTCGGTTAACATATGGATGTAATGTACAAATAAAGAAATAAAAACAAACTCTTGATTGTTTTATCTGATAAGCAGCGATTGCGAGTTACAATAGTTATCAAGTTCTTTATTCTATCCTTTGTCCTAAAATATTTTTATCCTAATCTATTTCGGCCGCCAAGCAGTAATGTTAGCATTACTACGTTTCGGTTTTGGTTCTGATGAAATTACAGGCACAAGAGTCTTTGTAACTTAAGTCGCAGGGTCAGGAGCGCAGTGGCGGTGCCCCTCAGGTCCTTGCGGTTTAAAGCTATGAGTGGCACTGCAACTGTTATGGACAGACGTGTCGCTTACCACCAGATGCACGACTTGTACGTCCCGTCAATTGATATCATAAAAAAAGTCATTGTTGTGCCTAATTTTCACTGTTTTTGCTATTTAAAATATCCAAGCTCTGATAAAGTTCAACGGAGATAATCTATGTCACGGTAGCTCTGGTGTCAATTCAGAGTAAAGTCCAATTGGGATTTACAATTCACTTAGTGCAAATTCCATTAAATTTCATTATTATAGTCCAGTCACTTTCGTGCCTCCAAAATAACACTTTTTTGGGTAATGCTGTGCCTACCATTAATTTAAATGAAGGCATTGTACTTGTCAATTGTTTATATGTATTTGTATATATTCATATAAGTAACCATTTTGTGCAAAACGTCTATTCATTACCATTTAAGAACCAGTTAAGTATCCGTTAATAGCATTACTCATCATTCAATGAATTACAGACATAATCTTTAATTTAAAAGTGTCGTTAGCTCTATTATTGTCCTTTACTGTTAACATTAACGTTACGATTGATCAAAGTTAAAAATAGAAATATACTCCCGGACACATATTACGAGCCACCTCGCATTTTTGTCGCAAAGGGTAAAAATAGTGCTATCATCGGAGTTTTCCCCTGGTTTTGGAAATCCAAATTCCCAACAAGGACTTATGGAAAAGACGTTTAGTATACTAGTTTCAAAATTGCATAATAGTTTTTAATTAATCAAACATTGTTTAAGCTTAGCGCACTTAGCACTGAAAATGCGTGGTGACTCGAATTATTTGTCCGGAAGTGTATACATATTTACTTAAGAGCATTAAGAATGTATGTACGATTGGGCGTTAATTGTCCATAATATTACGCAATGAACCCGAACTCTGTTCAATGTTCAAGACAATCTAAGATCGCCGTTAATATGAATTCTAGTATCTTTCTTTACTTAATTACCAACAACGCGAAAGGATTAAATCATCCATTCGCCAACATTTACCAAAATATAACAATGTTATAAAGCTTTGATGAATCACATTAAAACTTCATCCCGCGCTCTTCACCGGAAACACACGAGCGGAACAACCATATCGGTAACTCTAAAACAAACACAACTTACCTCGCCACTTAACTCTAACATCGATATGAAAAAAAAACAACAACAACAAACGCGCACTTGAAGTGTTATTCGCATGTTATTATTAGCTGCAGTGCATATAAACAAGGCTACAGCAAAACATCGCCCCCGGCCGTATCGATGCGTCGACGGGCTGTACTTTTAAAAAGCTAACCCGTCCTGCAAGAAAGGGACGGACGGCGAGCACGTGGGAAGTGGATTCCGAACGCACGCACCCCCTCCCGCCGCTCCCGACCCCGCACCTCTCGCTCCTGCAACGCCGCGCACACTCCAGTCGCGCGCCGACCGCCGAACCGGCAACACGTCTCTCCAACCCCTATCAGTGTTACCTCAGCACCCGCCCTGACGTTGTGCAGTGACCGAAGTGGGAACGTATACGCTGTGATTTGTTTTGAGTGTGACGTCTAGTGCAACTTGTGAACGCAAAGAAAAATTGTGTTTCAGTGATGAGGTTGTTCGCTACGTTATGAATGGTCTGGATCGGTGCTTCTTCGATCAACGTAAGTGTTGTTTTGGTGGCTGTAAGGACTGAATTGTGCGGAAATGGTAAATTGCCTCGTTCGCATTGCGGTTAGTGGAGGCTTAATTCGCGTGTAATGGTACGCGGCTGCGGCGTTTCAATATTTTCAGCGGTTTGTGGGGGTAGCGTTTGTCGCGTTAATTATTTTTGGGGTTTACGTTTCTTGGTTCCAATTAGACGTTTTTGGTACTTTGAAGGGGAATAGACGTCTCATAAAATCTCATTTCATTGGTATCATATTAAAAATGTTCTTTGCTCGGAGTTTGTAACAAGACACAATTCCTGACTAAAATATTTAAATACTTAACCGTTTATAGGTTCCAAAGAACATAATATCTTGATATTATATAAGTATTTGGACTACATCATAATAGTGATAGCTGCCAATGTGTTACATTGATATTCTTGAGAAGTTCCTTTTAAGGGCAATGGGATCTTCGCACGGGATAGAAACTCATTTTGGGAGGAATAAAAAATGATTGGAGTTAAGTTTATTACATCATACTCATGGATGAGAGACATTATAGTGAACTCAAAGTTTGGCAAACGATCTTAGGAACATGGAAATGTTGAATCTTTAGGAACACAAATATGCGTAATATATGACTTTATTCTGACTCCAAAAATTATAATGGATAAATGAAAATCAAATATGCAGTGAAGGATAGAACATTAAAAAAGCAATAATTTAAAGATAGAAATAAGGTTGGATTAATTATAAAATACATTATCGTGGCGTAAAAAGTTAAATATTCAGACGTAAGTCTAACACAAAACGTAGACGTGAGTCTAAAACAAGGTTAAGCAACCTTACACTGGAGCAAGCAGTGAAATGTCGGATTGAAAATAAAAGTAACAATAAAATACAAAGTTAAAAAAGGAAACAACAAGTTATGCGACAACAACAAACAATAACAAGTGACCAAAACAAAACGACAAATAAAAAAGCTATCCGATACAAAAGTCTAACAAATCTCGATGTCGGAAACACAATCGCGTCGGTCCAATCCACAATAATAGCGCAAGTCAGTGAACCTGACAGTTTGAGAATTTCATATAAATATTATGTAACGTCTTATTGGAGAAAAGAACGGCTAAGTGCATTATTTGTGAAATGTTATTAAATTGATTGTCATTTGGACAAACGGTGAGAAGGCAGAAAAGTAAAACAAGGAATTCTCGTAATTACACGGTTAAAGTAGCAATAGGTGTCGTTCGATTGGTAAAGAAACAATTCAACTAATGACCATAAGAGTAAACTCTTAAGCGTTGTTTAAAAAGTTTGTAATTACTGAAATTTACAAAACTCTACATACTAAATGCATACTAGAGAAATTTCTAGTGCTATAATAATCCTCATGTAATAAACGAAATTGTAGATATATTAAACTTGTTGGATACTTTAAGTGTTCTAATCAATTTTGATGCATTTACAAAAACTGTATAAAACAGACACTATCCAAATAAAAAACGGAAACCAGTGCGTAACAAAACAAACATAAACTTCTGTTGACGATTTTGGTACAACTAACTGTTCGAGATAAGCACACTAATGAACGGTCGCAGTAAACAGCTTTATTTTGTTAAGATAACTACCAGTTAACAGGGAAAGGAATGGTGCGGTTAAATAAATTGATGATGATTTGTTCAATTAGAACTGGAAAAGGCCAGCGACTTGAATGGTACACCAAGTTGATTTGTTGTAGATTCATTCAACTTGATGGGTACTTGAAAAGTTCAAAAGAATTATAATCCATTTACAAGAGCTGTCTTTTGTAAGAAGTCTACTATCAAAAAACCCAAAGATAACTATATTTAATATAAACAAGTAAGCAAAAATTGATAAAGAAATAAACACATTAGTAAATGAGAAAGCAAGCATTAAGTCAGTGGAATTTTGTCCTCAATTTTCGACGAATTACCTTAGTACTGAATAAAATCCTTTATAGAAAACAAATATACTTTATTCACTGGCCCGAACATTCCTCGATATTTAAGTATATAAAGCATAAAATTGACGATATAAATTATGAACACTCCGCTCTGAAAGACCCGAACGATTCAGAACAAAATTCAAAAGTCGTAAAACAAATATTAACACTTCTTTTATTGGACCATATTTCATAACACAACGAGAAGTGGTCAGTACACACTGCAGTTAAAAGTGTCAAACAAGTTTTTTGTTGAAAAAAGGCTGGTATTTGGAGCATTGATATCGATAGCCAATAAAGAGTCTACAAATCACACCTTAGTCGTCCCAACATCTTCGTGTTAAACAAACATAAATCACCAAATAGTGCTGGCAAATAATAAAAAGAAATATTTAAATAGTCCAACCGCATGAGACCACCCGCGCGATCGGAGCGATTCCATCCTCGGCACGCACGACCCTATTATACTATCAAAAGATACAAGGACCCGTTTATATTCAGTTTTTACGTAATTTACATTACGTCCATTCTCAAGTTGTTTTCGTTTTGTGAAGTCACTCTGAACGCGTTTTGTTCAGAACCATCCTGACGAGAAAACAGTCTCATGCGGCTTTTGTTGTCGTAATTCCATCCTGTTTTGAATGGATCTATCTTTATCGATTACATTGTCTGCTACTGGGTAATAGGTTTTTTATATATTAAAGTTTTTGTTAATTTCGTATGCTTATCTCGAAATAACAATAGCTATATTCGTTTTTTGGGAACAATGCAAGGATTTCTTGTGTGATATCTATTCTTGTCTCTTTTGTAAATATCAGGGTGGCATGTTTGACTTGCTGAGTGACTGCAACAGACCTGTTTAGAATCTTAACTATTTCCCCTTAGTTTCCGGTTAATTTAACTCGAGGTCGACACATGCATCCAAACACAAACTCAAAAGACGGAACTCCCACGTGAGTTGAACAAACATTGAACCTTCCCAGAAACACAATGTCATCTACAAAAACTGTCCCTTTATTATCCTCTATTATCTTTGCTCGAAATATTTCCAAAACATAATTACCAAACTTGATATTACATTAAATTACATTTGTAATTAAGGGTTTTCGATACTCGATAGACAGAAAAAACCTCTTAGATGGCGTTATGGCCAATAAAAGAGTTATGGTTAGGTAAACGATCAAAGTGAAACGGTATAAAAAACAAAATACTTTCGCTCATTGTTTGATGCGTTAACCGTCGTAAAGCTACAACAAATTGGTTTTAAAGGACTGGGGTAGACTTATACCTTTTTTGTGCAGTTTATTGCGATACTCTAGCGATTGTAGGGTATAAATTCTGTGGACTGTCACTTTTAGCAGGCTGGAAGCCAGTTTTGGATTGATGACCATATATTGCACTACAGGCTTTTGTAAGTCTGCAAGCGAATGCGCTTTCACGTATTATTATTTTCTTCATTCCATTGTGAGCTGGCTAATTAAATTTCATTGCTTCTACGTATTGTTTTAATATCGTGTTCCATTTCATCATAATTAAAAAACGAAATAATTAACAAATTTGAGTCTAGATTGAGACGGACAAATTGAAATCTATTATGATTTTCATTATTAACATAATAATGTTGCTGATAGATTTTGTTTCTCCTGCTAAATTTAATATAAGTTATTCTAATACGGCTTTTTTGTTCAGTTCGCGTATTTTGTTTCTCGAAATATAAATTTTGATTACCAAAAGTTCAAAACTTCTGACAAGCGTCTCTAAAAGCCCCGACGTGACCTAAAATTGTAGGTTATCAACTGTAACATTCCAAATTAAATTATTGTTCACAGAATTTTAATAAAAGAACATTGAAAAAATAAAAAGAATTTGAACGGAAACTTAGGGGAAGGTCGACCTTCGTCTATATACCTGAACCAGATAGAGAATGTTCTTAAAAAAAGGTTAGGAGAAAAGTAACAAAACTAAACAGGCGTGTATGAAACGACTGATGCGAGCGAAGGAAGCGAAAGACATACGTCAGAAGCTCAGCGGGTGGACAGCTCATAGTTTCCGCCGACCTGGGAGACAGGCGTAGTGTTTGTATACGCATATATCTGTATATATGCGTGTATGAAAAACTAACGGAGTTAGAAATTTAACGGAGTTCAAAAAAAGGAGGAAGTTTGATGGTTCTTTTTTTGTTGGAAAGAGTACCTCAGTATTGGTCCCATTTAAATTTAAAAAATATTTTCGACCTTTAAAGGTGGCGAACTAGGAGATGAATCCGGTTTCAACCACTTTCCGGTAACCGATTTCAATAAAACTTGGTAAATAGATGTAATTTTACGAACTTGTGATGTTGATTTTTTTTAACAAAAGTTATGTTCTTTTTTCTTTACTGTCAATAGTGTAAATGGCTTAAATCATTATCTATGTGTTTATTTCATAGATAAACAAGTTACACTTAAAATAATTATGTTCATAAAGCAGACACTCCCGAAAAGAATTAGTAAGTGACTCTACGGATTGCTTTGTAAAGAAACATTTGTTCACATTTTTTTAAGTGACGGAACGAACAAGTCGTGCGCCTGTTGGTAAACGACGCGGCAGTACAGTTGCAGTGCCACTCAAAGTATTAAATCGTAAAGAGTAGAGGGCCATTGTCAAGTTGATAATTCCTGTCTGTAATTTCACCAAAAAAGTGTATCATAAAAAAATCCTCTCAGAATGAGAATGAAAACAACAATGACGTTAATTCTAATAATAATCTCAGTACAGAGTACTAAAAAAACCGACCTCAAAAGTACGTGGAATTACGTTGGCTAAGTTTTATTGAAATATCCCCTTGTTCGCCGCTATACAGGACTTGGCACTGGAGATAATAAAAATCGGTTCTCTCTACTCAAAGTTTTGAAAGAAAAACGCCTTAATTGGAGAAATAGCAAAATCAACCATTAAAGTAATTACTTCTAAATTAAAATTTAGGCGCTATTTATAAAAATGAATCTTCATGCGTGATTAGCCACCCTTAGAGGTGGATTTTCAAAATGAAATGCGACCACTATGGAAG